ATACCACCCAAGACTGAGAGCCAACGAACTTTAGGTAGAAATTTCCATTCTGTTGATCTTAACTGCCTTCAAAAACCATTTTTTACATTAAACCTGGTGGTTTTGCCTGAGGTTATTTTGCATATACAAAAATCTGGTTTTAAAAATTATGAGCTAACTTGGGGATTCACAATGTATTTGCAATGGATAAATGAAACAAATCTCAGGGCAGCCTTTTGATATACGGCGCGAGCTGCACTGGCTCCCAGTGGTCTTCCGGGTGCGCTTCAAGGTGTTGGTTATCACCTTGAAAGCGCTCCATGGCATAGGGCCTAGCTATCTTCGAGACCGCCTGCTGCCACCGACGACCTCCCATCGACCCGTGCGCTCCCACAGAGAGGGCCTCCTCGGGGTGCCATCAGCCAAACAGTGCAGGCTGGTGACCCCCAGGGGGAGGGCCTTCTCTGTGGGGGCACCTACCCTCTGGAATCAATTGCCTCCAGAGATAAGGAGAATCCAAGACCTCGGTGCCTTCCGCCGTGCCCTTAAAACCTTCCTTTTCCAGCAAGCCGGGCTGGCCTAATTTTTTTTTAAGTGTTTTTAAGTGTTTTGTTTATTGTTTTTAATCAATGGGGCCAAATTTATATATGTATATTTTAACTGTATTTTAATATTTGTATTTGATGTTTTTACTTGGCTGTTCACCGCCCTGAGTCCTCAGGGAGAAGGGCGGTATACAAATTCAAAATAAAATAAATAAAATAAAAATAAAATATATGAATATATTTTAATAGGAAACCCATTACTAAATACTACCATCAGTGCTCAGGTAGGAAGTGACTGCAGATTTGGAAGAACCCAAAGTTTAAAGAAATATAAAAACATTTGGGGTAGAGGGAAGAAAGTGAGAAAGGAGCAGAGAGAGAGAAAAAGAGACAGGAATATTGTAGCTGGTACAATTCAACATTGATGTTCATTTTGGTTTTGTACTTTGTGTGTAATATATTAAATGACGGGTAGTTAGAGACAGGAACCCCCTCCCCACACACGCAGACACATACTTGAAGCAATGTGTAAATCATGGTTTACAACCAACATGCTAGGAATGGCAAGTCACCAATATCTTGAGAACCAGAGATTCCTCATTTCTTTGGAACAAAAGTGGTGCAGCATCTATTTCATTATCATTGGTCCAAGCTACTGACAGTATGAATAGCTTTTCTAGTTTGTCTTAAATTTTATGACTGCTAAATTTCAAAGGAAGATAATAATTTTTTTACTTTAGGCTTTGCAGGTCTCTGTGGTACTCCGGCTGCTTTCCTGTGCAATTCACATGAAAAGCAATATAGAATATTCTTGTTAAAAGAGCAATTACAAAATTACATGAGTGGATCTATTGACAAAGTTTTGCGATAGCCAATGTTTCCTGTTATTACCTCAGCTATGTAATGCTTAATATCCCTCTCATATTTTCGTATATTCTTTTCTGTTTTACTGTGAGTCTGAATTATTTCCTAAATATCTAATTCCATTGGATGGGTACTAGATAGAATGGAATTGTGCCTGTTTTCTTTCTGCCAATTAAAACACTTATCCTATTTATCCCAAAAGCAACCGGGACCAACAATCTTTGGGTGGCTGATGGATGTAGTTTTTGGAATGCAGTTACTTTCAGAGCACTGCAGAGAATGACGAGTTCATTTACCCAAATTGATTGAATCAGAATTTTTAAGGCATTTGCCAGGTGGGCCTGTATCTCTCTGTGTGTGGTGTTAAATGTATGCGTGCATATTCTCTACTTTTTAAAAGTGTTCTTGTACCTTTTTAATGTTCCAAATACTGTATCAGACAAAAATTATACTTTGGTTGTCTAGTGGCTTGCCTTAATATTTCAGCAGCCTAATTCCTGATTGTTCTAAAAGTCATAAAAAAGATTTTTAGGATCTATTTCTGGATTGTGAACTATTCTTCCTTTAGAGTTCTTCTGAGTGAAAGGATTGCAAACTATCCAAGCTGTCAAATGATCTAACTCTGAACTGAGATTGTCATAGTAACAAGGTCATAGGTCCTTCTTTGATCTATTCAGTTGTCCATTCATTATACACAATATTCTTAACTTGCCTTTCTCCCAAATTACTAGGGTACAGCAGATCAGTCTCAGTCCAGCATACTAGTTCTGAGTCAAATCAGTTTTAACTTGACACTAAAAGCAATGCAATGTAAGTTACCATGCAAATTTCCAAAGACTGAATTATCTAGAAAATGTGTAAAACTCCTGCAATTATCATAACTTGGGTCCAATTTATGACTGTCACAACTTACAATCGTAATGAGCAGGCTCCATTCCAGTCACAAGGAAAGGGTTACATGTATCTGATGCAATCAACATACAGACTCTCTGCTGCCAATGGATCCCAAAGTCTGATGAAAAAAAAACTATTTTGAGGGTAACCTCACCTCAGGTGGGATGAGGTTCCAGAGGCTGGCACAGAGCAGAAAAAACTCATTTCCTGCTGCCAGATGGAACTCCTTAGCCAATAGGATCTGCAACATGCCTACACTACAGCTTAGACAATTATCATGCAAAAGGAAGCTCAGCCCAGAGAAGGATTCTGCTACTGTAACCTAACAGTAGTAGTAGTAAGTAACCTAAAAGTAGTATTAGTATTCATAGCTTGTGTTCCTTGTCTGGATTGCCTTGAAGGGCTGACATTAATCTTGTAAGTTTGGGAGGACTCTCCTCTCCTTTACTTTTACTTTCCCAAAACTTAGGGAGAGTTCCTTCTGAGATCCTTCCCATATCACTTTTTTCCCGTGAGCTGCAATACCTTTTGCATGATAGTTAGGTGTGGCTCTTCCTTCTGTCTGCCAAAGTCATGCCACAGATCTTTTCAACTGGTCATTTATCAGAGCTGCTGTTTTCTTTGCTATACCCAGAATTCTGCCTTTGTCTTTTGCAATAATAAAGCTTCTGCTTAATCTGAAGCTGAGGGATTCTCCTGAATCCATAAGCTATATCCCATGCCTGAGAGAAGATGCGTATTCTGACTCAAGCACTAACCAGCATTTAGACTAAGAACTTGCAGTATTAATGCTGGATGGCTACTCTCAACAGAAGTTTTGGAAAAGCCCTTCTTACAGTGAACTGCATTTCTTCATGGTAGCACATAAGGGTGTGAATTCAGACACCCAAATCTTTCTATTTTTTCTGTATTTCAAAATGACTCCAGGCAATTTATTACAGGTAAATAAAAACACTAAGTAAAAGTTTATCTAATAATTGTGTGAAAGTATAAAAAATGAAATCATGATGAAAAATATCTAACAATGTCCTCTAAGGTGATTTCATAGTCCAGCCATAGGGAACTACAGAAGGTGCTGAAATGCCCATTGAAGAAGATACAAGAGTGGATGTGTGGCATATACATATGGAGGTGACACCACAAAGAGCAGGAATTAGGCAAGCATTTTATCCGTCTGGCTGCATATGGAGTTGCCAGAATGGAGAATGTGGGAAAGGAAAGTTGTGTGGGTGCCTTGGCATGCAAAGTTCTTCTGAAACTAAGGAGGAGATGATCAGGTAATCTGAGTCAATGGAGCAGAGAAAATTGTATCCTTTAGAATAAGGTCTGAGTCAGATTCACTGTATGGACAGGAATGTGGGATAATTTCCAGCAACTGGGCATCTTTGACAGCTTGGTTTAGTAACTATCTAGGCTCACACAACTGTACAACCTCCCCCAGCTGTTATTGGTAACAATGCAGTTAATAGTGTCAGGTTCTGGAAGTGTTTATAGTCTTCTTGCAAGTTCACGTCTGCTGAAAGGATGTCTACACAGGTGAATCTGGGAAAGCACGGGGCACACTAGGACTGTCTGTACCCCAATCTGCCAGTTTTTCCTCCTTGGAGGCCAATTCAGCTATCCAGGGCACAACAGACATTAGATGTTATCAAATCAGTCAGAAGGCCTTCTGAAAACAATTTCCACCACTTTCCTGAAAGACAGCCCTGTCTGTCTTCAGACTTCTACACAAGTCTAATCCACTCTACTTGGAAACAAGTAGACCCACTCTAGATCTCTTTGCCCCCTATGGAATGGGGTCATAAGCAAGATCTGCCCTAGGCCTCTCTTTCACATGCACCTCTTGAAAGGCAGGAATCCAGCACATTCTCTTCCTAGATGGGCAACATGGGTTAATTAGATTCAGTTTAGGAGGAAAGTATGTGAAAGGCTGTGAAAAGACAAGAGATAGCAAGCATGTCAGTTATCAATTTATCTCATAAAAGGCAACTATAATCCAAGTGAAACACCTGGGAACAAGCATCTTCAAATCATAAGACTCTATCCTAACTAACTCATTAATTTAATAACTAACTAACTGAGGGTAGTAAATTATTCTTACACTTTCCAAGAGTCTCATTTTATTAGCATATATTAGCATTAAAAAGACCTTCCAAAAATCTCTGTAGGTCCTGCTTCTTCAGTCTTACCCGGTTGCATGGGGTATGGATATAGAGATACCAAGAAGCCAAACCTTATATGGCTTTATAGGCTAAAACCAGCACTTTGAATTGTATTTGGGAACCTACTGGCAGTAGTATCTGCAACATCAGCATTATTTGGTAGAATTGTCTCCCCCCTCCCCCCACCCAACACACCCATGCTGCCTCAAATAGGGATCTTGCTGCATTCTATGTGTGTAGTTTCCAGGTAGACTTCAAAGGCAGCCCTATATAAAATGGACTGCAGTTATCCAGTTAGAGATGACAGTGAAGGCCTGAGTTGCTATTGCTGGTCTATAGCGGACAGCATTAGATCACCTTTCTTTGCCATACAGGCTCAAGCTTGCCCTAATTCTTCTCCTCCACCTTCGCTCCATTAAACTGCATTGAGCTTTCAAGCTGCTCAGCTGATTATAAGGTGACACCCACCGCTTGGACCCCCTCTAATCCATGGGATTTGGGGGTCACTTGGGGAAGCCTAATTAAGTGACACTGGAAACTTTAATCTCCCATCTATGGAAGAAGGGCAGAACTCTGGAAGAGTGAGATGGCCAGAATCAGACAGCTAGGAAGGCAGCAACAGCAGGGCCATTGCAGGGACCAGAGCCCACAGGTACTCTGGGTTTAGTTTATTTTGTTTTATTGATGTAGTATACAAAAAGAAAGAAAAACTACAACATACAAGGCAATATATAAGTTTAACAAAGGAGGAAGGAAAATGAGGAAATATGAACGTTAGGCTAGAAAATTTAATTAATCCTTGCACTTTCGTGGGGGGGGGGGAAGAATTTCTTGGTGGTGTTTGCAGGATGCACATTTATGACCTAGCCAAAGAAGGAGGGAGATCCATTTATTTTGGCGATTGTTCACTCTGAGGGGGAAAGTGCTTTGTGACTTGTTAATATGCCATCTTGCACATTGAGCTGCTGGGTGTTTCAGTGCAATGAAGGTGCTTTTCTGACTTGTGAAAGAAGTTAATTTGTGTGTTCAGAAGTGGCATCTCAGGATGTTTTTGAAGGCAGAAACATTCAGAGGAAAATCTACCTGTTGTTGGAAGAATTTGAGACCAACTTTGGGGGGGACGAATTAAGAGCATTTATTGTGGTTATCTTTTATATCTTCTAACAGCAAAGACATAGCTAATCCCATGCTGTTGGAAATAGTGGGATGGGCTCTCTTTCTCTTCCTTGGTACTTTTTAGAAATGCCTGAGCAGGGGCAAGAAATTAATGGACATTAGTCCTGCTCCAGGATATTTTATATGAAGTAGTATAAAATATATAAATGGGAATTATCAACACAAATGTGCATACTCAGTGCAAAGTATTTGTGTGCTACTTATGGGATGCTTCATTTATTTCACAATTTTTCTGCTAAAATTAATTAATTCTGGCACAGATCAATGGTTTCCCTTACAGGTTGAGAAAGTCCTCCCTCTAGTATTTCCCTATGAACGTTCAAACCTGTTTTGAACTTTTCCAAGCAAAATCTTTAGCTGTTCATTCTATCTACCTTCTTCTCTGAGCTACATGAATATTCATGAAAAGAAGCAATGTAACTTATTCAGATCTGGGCAAAATTAATGTTTAAAGTTAAGTATCAAAACTATTTTAAAAATAAACAATAGGATTCTCACTGTTTTAGAGACAACATTCTTCCTGGATGGATGGAGTTCTAGTTGAACAACCATGGAGAAATGATATACTGTTTTTGACGATCAACTATGAATCCATTTTTTCCTTCAAAAGGCCAAACTTTTTGGTAATTATTTATTTTCTATATCTGCAAGGTTAGTTGATGATGACTGTTAGATTTGGAACATAATTTGCTGGATATGAGTGTGGATGGAAAGGATATCCTTCAGTGTAATATGTTTAAGATTTTTTTAGCATTGAGCTAAATGCTCAAGCTACAGAGAAGAGGGGAACTTGTGGATAATTATACCCAAAGTTCAAATGGTTGCCTTCGTGATGCATTAGGGTCAACAAAGATTATTGTATACCCTTAATAAATGTATAGTTCCCATAACGTCATTTCTGAGTCTGTTTTTATTTTCTTACAGAGGTGACAAAACATTAATTATAATATATAATAAAAGTTAAACATAACAAAGAATAAAATGGCTATATATATTCTACAAAATGCAAACAAATATTAAAAACAATTTTAAAAAGAAAGCAAACATATAAGGGTTTCATTTCTTGGTTTGGTGGAGAAATCTATTTATAACATGTGAGAGAAAGGGTGAGTTTTGGATTGGGATCATTGTGTAGTCACCCCTGTGTTCCTTTGCCCTTTCTATTATTTTCTTCTCCTTGGGTTTTCTCTACACTCTGTTCTGCTTTTCCTCCTCTGCCATTTCTATATTTTAATGTTTTATTTCCTCTTCTCTCTTTCTGCCTCTGCCATATTCAGCCAGCCGAACTACCAGTACATTGATTTCTTTTTTGTCTTTGTTTTTTAGTTAGAGGATTATCCCAAGGAGGAACTCATCAAATATCTTTCAGGACAGAATGGCACTTTTTATTCCCTTCCCCTTTGATAATACTGTAGTGTAGAGTGAGCACTGCCTGCCCAAATGTCAATGCATATGAGAGGTGGTCAGCAGAGGCAGTATTATTTATTTATTGGTTTGATTTATATACCGCCCTTCTCCGGAGACTCAGGGCGGTTTACAATGCGTTAAGCAATAGCCTTCATACTGTTGTATATACCTGCTTAGTAGGGTTTTTAGCAAACCCCCCCCCAAGCAGTGTTCTTTTTTATACAAAGTCAGCTTATTGCCCCCACAAACTGGGTCCTCATTTTACCTACCTCGAAAGGATGGACCTGGTGAGATTTGAACTTGCAGTAATTGCAGGCAGCTGGTGCTATTTAACAGCGCTTTAGTCTGCTGCGCCACCAAGGCTCTTATCACATTATTCTACTGTCACAAGAAGCCCAGGCTTAAGAAATGTGCAACAATAGTTCCAGAGGAAACATCAAGGACCAAGATTTGGGTTTCAGGCTTCATGGAATGCCTTATCTGACCAACTGATCTGCTATGGAGGATCATACTGTATTTCTCAGACTTCTTGTAAGCCTGTGTGAACTGAGAACACGCCTAATATTCTCCAATGGCTGAACATTGCTAAGGAAGACAGGCAGCAGTGGAGAGTTTGCCTTCAGGAAAACCTGGAAGACAATTATGAACTATTTTTCTGTTTCTTTCCTATTTTGCTAGGATCTGAGAAACGGGAACAATAATAGATAGATAGATAGATAGATAGAGATAGATAGAGAGAGAGAGAGAGAGAGAGAGAGAGATTGATATATAAATGAAACAAGGGGTTTGATACCCATTCTGTAAAGTATTAATATGGGGGGAAAGTTACATTTAGGGCAATAACAAATGAATGCTAGGATTTTAAGTTACTTCAGGTATAGCCAGTGGGATATACTGGGAATCCTCCGCTGTCTTCCTGCTGTGTTTGGCTTATTCTTAACTGCTTCCTGTCTAGGTTGATTATTTTTCATGAAGAAGTACATACTAAGGTTGAACTCAGTTGAAGCTGATCAGGGCTTCAGCAAAAGAAGTGGAAAACTGAAGACTGCAGCATAATGAAGAACCAGAGATAGACCAGCTTTTTGTAATTCCTCTTTGGACAAGAAGAGAACTTGAGATTGCCCGCAAGTGCTCCAGGCAATTGCTCATCACAGGGAGACCACAAGACAGCATTTTCTAGAAGGTTGAAGGGAAGGGGAGGAAAGGGGAAACAGCATTTTGCAGAAGGAGACAAGGGAATAGCCATCTTGCTAAAATCGTGGTTGGCACTCAGGACACTGGGCTTGCATATTTCCTTTTGTAATCACTTTTGGAAATTGTGTAACAGCTTTTCAACTGTTAGCAATCTTTGGATCAACAACTTTTACCACACTAGGTGAATTTCCTTCAAACCTTAGCGAAAGAAGTTTTAAGTATAAGTTTAAGGATTTTTTTTTCTGGAATAAACAAAAAAGGGATGATTAGATTTGTGATTCAAGAAAGTTGTCAGCACTTGACAAAAGTTACAAATGATTTTAATTCCATATAATTTGAAATTATAATTTTGGAATTATAAAAATTCTTCCAGTGGGAAAATAAATTTCTATTGAATTCTTAAGAAAAAAAAAAAGAAGGATGGAATTTTGAAGGTTGAATACCAGAGGGAACTAGAAGGAACTGAAGATTACCATTAAATGAGAAAACTTAATTTGATTTACCAATACATAATGGAACAAAATATTTTAACATTTGACATTTTGAAGGATATTTTAAACAATGGATGCAGAAGTTAATTTTAAGAGTATCTCTATAAATAGACTGGGTTTAAAAATTGTTATGGAAGAGGAACAAATTTTAATGGACAAGAATGAGACTGATATGAAAATGAATTTTAAAATGACAAGCTACAAGAAGGTCATGGAAAAAGATGTTACACTGGACATACAAAAGAAGCCGGCTGTTGTCTTAATAATTAAAAGGGATATACAAATAACAAACCAAGAGAATGACCTGGATAATCTTCCTGTATTGGATTTACAAAAGAGGCTTGTTAAAGCTTTGAAGATTTTTGTGAGGATAAATAAAATAATGAAAAGAAATCAAGCTTTAGGACATTATTTGAAGGGACTAAAAATCAAGATTGTTAAAAATAAAAGAAAGGAATCTAAAGTTGATTTATTTGATTAAGGTTAAAATAATTATATTGTTATTTCTGTAAAAAAATATTTAATGGACTTTTGCTGAGCAGAAGGTTTTTATGGATGTGTTTAAGAATAAGATATAGGTCTTATATTATAGGATATGGGAAGACAAAGATTCATTGTATTTTAAGAGAAGATAAGTTATTAAAATTGTTTCTATTTGTGATGGAGGAAGTCATTTCCTTATATATTTAATTTCTTTTTCTATATTATGTGCTTCTTTCTTCCTTCTCTATTTTTCTTTTCTGCACTTTCTATTTTTTCTTTTTCAATTTGTCTGTATCTTTTTAATTGTGATTTTTTAAATAAAAATATTATAAAAAAGAAAGAAAAGTGAGTATTGATACTAAAATTACAGTGATACTGCCAAAAGTCAGCAATAAAAATATATAAAAAGTTTGGGATAGGAAACCAGAGCCAAGTCAATCCTTTAGTGGTTGTTATATTTTGAGAGAAGATGATAAATTACTAAAATGGTTTATACATGTTGTGAAGAAGAGGGAAGTCATTTCTTTACATATTTCTTTCCTTTTTAGCTATGGATGTGAGTCACTGAGGCTCAGGTGTCAGAATGCCCACTAGATAGGGATTATCCTGTTGATGGTAACCCACACAATATGAAACAAACCGAACAGTACAAGGACCAATGTTTTAGAGATGCCTCCAATGGGCATGATCTCAATTGGGCATGGGGTTTCATTTTAATTGTCACAATGCACTTGCTATTCCAATCTTTTCTGCAAAGTCATCAAGATGTAATATTCATACGGGTTCTGTTACAGGAACTCTCAGAACGTTTATCTAACTTTTAAATCAACCTATATTATGGTCTTATCTCAGACCTCCTCTGCTTCTAATTTCTTGGACTGTAACTCCCAATACTCTCACTCACATTGTGAGAGAATTCTGGAAATTTTTATCTGGCATATCTGAAAGACTCCAGATTGGAAAAACTGTCCTATCTCAACATTTAAGTAGAATACATATATACTGTAGCTTATTGAGATGTTCTTTTCCATAAGTCCTATTTAAAAATTAATTCTCATATTTGAGTATTCCACAATCAACCTCTTTCTCATTTCTACTTCCTTCAGAAGTTTTCATTGTACTTTCTGCAATAGCCAGCAGAGGGGGAAACAACAAAGGAGAAATCACAGCCTTGGGTTAAGTACTGGCACAAATTTACATGTTTACATATTTATTCCTTTGAGATATAGAGTGGGTGGTGGAGTGCAACCCTGATGATTTGCTTGATTGTTCCTCCAGCTTTTAATATCATCAGCCACAGTATCCTTCTGGACCAACTTTCTGTGTTGGGGTACTGACTCACAGCAATTCTGTTCCAACTTGACTGGCCATTGTGAGAATATCAGGGTGGGAGATTATTGCTTTGCATCTGCATGAAACTATTGTGAGAAAACATCTGACGATGTGGATTGAGCTTTTATTAATATACAAAAGACACTTAGCCTTACTTTCCTTTTCATCTAAACATAGGCAAAGATTGAACTCTTGGAATGGATAAGAAAGGCCTAAGAAGGGATGTAAATTAAATCCTCATCCTAATATGGGGAATGTTGCCTTCCTTCCTGCTGGAAGTTGATAGAAGTTCCATGAGACTCCAACGAAGTTGGAAAGCCTGCCCCTGAACAGAGGTCCTGTATATGATCCCTGGAAGCATATCTTGACTATACCACCAGATTTTGGGGATATGATTGTTTGAAAAATCAGGATTCTATTTCCTATTATTTTGAGGCAGTGAATTCACAAAAATGGTCGAATAAGCTCTAAAACAGTCTAAACATCATAGTAAAGTTTTTTTTTTTAAATCAAATTCCATTTAGCAGGCAAAGAAAACATGGAAAAGCCAAGCTTCATCCATGAGTCTTTGGCACTTTGCACAATTGGTGCGTGCATTCAGCTTCCAGACTCCTGCATCAAAAGTTGTTTACTTTTGCTCTACAAAAAAATATACAGCATGTGGGTTTAGGGAACAGAATTTCTATTAGGCTATAGATGGGAGAAATGATCCACCTTTGTTCCTTATAAATATAATTAGCAGCCCAGTTGCTTGACAGTGACTTGGGTGGCATATACATTTAATTAATTTGATAAATAAATAAAATTAGGTATTACTGTAACTATTACTTACGTTGAATGGAGAAATCCTACACATTAAAATGCATGTATATTTTTTACAACATATTTAATTTATCCCAGAAAAATTGTGCATTGACCTGCAGCTGTGAAGCAGAGATCAAAAGTGTTGCCTCGGGAAATCACAGGCATGGGCTCATATCTCATACAATACTAGACAATTACTTCTAATCTGGTATGAAATTTTCCTCTGCAAAAGAGAACAAGGTTTAGTGATAAGAAGAATGTTTAGTGATAAAATAGATGTTTTGCATAGATAAGTTCCTTTGTTAACTTCAAGGCATTTTCTATGCTGGATCTCTGTTGTTTTGTAGGCACACTTTGTGCTTTGTTTGTGCGGGGGCTGTGTGCGTATTGCATTTGGGCGGTTTGGGCGCACACGTGCTTTGGGCACTCCGTCTGGAAAAGGTTAGCCATCACTGATCTAGGACATGGTTGTCCCAAAGGTGTTTTTCGAAAGGCAATTGGACTTTCTTAGTTTTTCCTTGAACAGTTCCTCTAAACAGTTCCTAGTTTAGAACTGAAGAAGCTTCTTGAATGAGACGCAAAATATTTTCAAGGAAAAAACTAAGAAAGTTCAGTTATCTTTTGAAAAGTACCTTTGGGACTACCTGCCATAAGCTACCTATAGAAATACAGCAGAGGTGGGTTTCAGCAGGTTCTGACCATTTCTGGAGAGTAGCGGAAGTTTTGAGTAGCTCAGAGAACCAGTAAATACCACCTCTGACTGGCCCCAACCCCATCTATTGTCTGCATCTATTGTCCCAGCTGATCGGGAGGAAATGGGGATTTTGCAGTAACCTTCCCCTGGATTGGTGAGGGAATGGAGATTTTACAGTATCCTTCCCCTGCCACCCCACCAAGCCACGCCTACTAAGCCACACCCACAGAACTGGTAGTAAAAAAATTTGAAACCCACCACTGAACTACAGAAACAAGAACATGTGCACCTCAATAACCATGGAAGAATAATGCTGTTTTGTGTAGACAACTCATTTTTGAGGAACATTCAATGCATTCAGTTTCTAGTTTTGATTTATGCTGTCTTTGTGCATTATTTGATTGCACAGCTGTATATGTGCATAATGAAAAAAATACCCTAAAAATAACAACCACAGCAAACACATCGATTTCTTGCCTTCAAATATAGTATCTCTCCATTCCACCTGAGGACAAAGGAAAAGATAGACAAAGTATTGAACAGCATCTACAACTTTAAACTATTCTCGTTGGTAAATAGTGTAATATCATGACCCAGGAACATACATCACACATAGCATAAGGAAATTGCAATGATTAAAATAAATAATGAAGAATTTGTGGGAAATGAAACAAATAGGGAAAATAGCATCAGAAAAACTGGTTGGGGAATATACTATGTGCTGTACAAGTGAGCTAGAGGTTATTGATTGGAAAGAATACTGGTATAGATTGGTCCCTGGGCTTTTCTTATTAAAAGAATATCTGACAGTTGGGCTAGGAGAAGATAATGCTGGTTGAACTAAAATGCACTGAACAGGAGGAATTTTCCACAGACAAAACTCTCAGGTTTGTGCAATTAAAATTCTGCATACTTTTACTCAAGATTGTACTATCTGCTGCCCTTTTTAAAAAATTCTATGTCTCACGGAGGACGGGAAATAGAAGACAAGAGAAATATAGTACTAGTAGCCTCTGCTCTAAGGTGAGAAGATAATTGTATAAGAAGTCAATAATAGACAATAAGACTCCGAAACAGCAGAAGAAAATGAATAGCACATACAACATTATTTAATTTGTTTGTTATAGACCAGCCTGGTCCATATGAGCATAGTAGTTCTTTGGAGATGTTCCTAAGGATATTAGGTAATATTCAGCAGCATGTTTCCAATGCAAACACAAAAAGCAGAATTTCATATATAGCCATGGCCATGAAAGGTTCAGTGGTCCAGACAGGAGTGGGGCAAGGTGACTGAAACTTAGCATTATCAATTTAAGATGAATTTCACAGTGATTTGTTAGGAAACACTAAAAAAGCATAACTACTACACTAGTTGTAGAGGACAGAGTTTGAGCCAATATAGATTATTAGCACCTCTTGATGATGCAAGATGTAGCTGAGATGGGAACAAAGTTTTTTTTATACCTGAAGGTATGGAAGACAGTGAGAAAATTGATGCCCTTAGAGATTGCCAGTATCAGAATCTAAGTCTGTTCCTGTTATCTCCAACTCATCTGGGTGGGCTAAGCTTTTGGGGAGCAAGGAAGTGGTTGATATTGCTAATTTCAAAGAGCATCAGAATGAAGAAAAATTAAGCCACTCTGAGTCTCCGGAGAAAGGCAGCATATAAATTGAACTAATAAATGAATAAATAATGGAGATAAATTCGCTTTTGTATAGTCAGGATTACAATGGAGGGACATGGGAGAAGGAAGTGGAGGATTGAAAGAACTATAAGATGTACATTATATATAAGATTGAATAGATGGGATAGACTCAAGAAAAAGACCAGAAAAAATTGCATGGAGTGGAATTGATAACAGTTACATATGAGTCAACTGAATGATACAGTGTTCAAGATATTTTAAAAAAGGACACAGAATTTGCTTTTTGATCTCTTTGGCCTCTAGTTGGCATAAAAGCATAACTATTCTGACAATTTAAGGCATCATAGTGAGTGAGTAATGAAACACAGACTGGTTGTATACAGTCTATTGTGTATGTTTAATACGTTAAGCATTCTCAGGAGACTATTTGGTGTAGTGGTTAAGACATGGGTCCTCAAACTATGGCCTGTGGGCCGCATGCGGCCCGCTGAACCAATTAATCTGGCCCGTGGAGCACCACGAGGTTGCCCCGCCCACATCACCCCACCCACCCTTCAGCAGAGTGCAGGACTTGCCTTCGGGGGACCTGCAGGCTGGAACCAAAAGGTAAGCTCAACAATTTTAGCTTGCAGAATCCTTGTGGAGGGGGGGGGTTAGAAGAGGCAAAAAACCAGGCAA